TTCATCACTTGCCCATCTTGTTATTGTTGATTCAAATGTAGAGTTGAAATCAGAGGTGTCTGTGACTGTTTGGTGCTGTTTCCTGCAAAGAGACCGTAATCGCTCAGCAACAAACTTTGTCATCTGTGGGACCCATGCATCCTTTAGTACTGTCCCGAAATTTTCTGTTGCCACATGTAAGCTGATAGCAGATTGTCCACCAAACTCTCGTAACCAGACAAGTGTTGTGGTTGCCTCTCCAATTGCTCTTCCGTAATGTACTGTGAGAGAAGAAACGTGTGCCAGGCTTGGATAGCGGGACCCTCGTTGGGAAGGCCAATTTGCAGCTACTAGTTTTCCCTGCAGTGGGCGAAGGTCCAAAACATCCGATCGTAAATAAGGCCACCCAGATAAAAATAGGCCTGGACACACTCTTTTTACCACGCTAGATAATACCCGTGCATCACCAGTAAAACAGCAATTGCTCATACGCTCGAAGATGGAGACCCCTTCACAAATCGCAATGCTCAAATCATCCCGCCCCTTTCTAGTCCACCTCGATACAAGATCATCAAAGGCAGCCTCGAAAAGATAACTAAATTCTACCAAAATACCAGGAAAACTCTGTGTAGTAGATAATTAGCGGCGGATAACAGTCAATACCTACCTGACTTTACTTACATCGGGCAAGAATCGGTGCAACAAAGAGATGTACTCCGACGGGTAGGATTCAAAATAACTTATATACTCACGAAGCGGACGAAATATTTGAGTAATGGACCGTTGTGACGGCAGTAGCCTACTAACGTGGACCACGAAGATTTGTTCCATACGATACCCAACTAGTGAGTTTTCTATGGAGTCTATGATGCGGTTCCGCTCCCAGGCGAGTGGCTTTGAATAAATCAAACCATGGTTTGATTGTTGTTCCACATCTGTGGTCGGGGACCTTCCTTGCGATAGAGCAAGCAGCTGCCTCTGCTTTCTTCTCTCCCGTTGGCTGGAAACCTCCTCTCTCAATGTGATTGCCGCGCTGGTCCAACCCTTCGTTACGGTCAAATCATCTGGGTGATGTCGTATTGTGCTCTTGATTGTCGAGTAGCCTTGAAACTTTTCAGCCTGAAGCACATGTTGACATTCATTCTCCTCAGACATCATCTGCTGCAATGGACCGCAGATCCCGTTCTCGAGGAAGTCCGGAGGTCGCGATGCTTGAAAGTTGACGTATTGAGGGTTGAATCCCAGTGGATAGAAGTCCACTCCTGTCTCGTCCCACCCATACTCTTTCAGGATCTCGTTCCTGTCTCCCAAAAGGCTAAAAACTTGTGGTACCCCATCAAGCTCACTCTGATGATGGATATTAACCGCTGGTGCAAATGAAGCAAGCAGGAGGGCTTCTACATCGCAGAATGAATCGAGTTTCGAAACAAATGCATAATCCTCATCTGGCTCAATGCTGACATTGCTTCCATAGTCGTAGCAGTGAAAGGCTGGCAGATTATCGGTCCAAAAGGTGTCTTGGGAGTGTTGGAGTACAAGATCTTGCCAGGCTGTCACAAAACATTCTTGGAAATACCGCCACTCCCGTGTGTGGAGAGTGCAGCTCTCATTCTTTCCAAGCTGCCAGGTGGGAAGGAGGCCACGATCCACAAGACTGTCGTTGGTACGAAAGATCTCTTGCACATAAGCCAGGAGCACTCGAGCATGCCGGGCTTCCAGTGCACTCCGTTTGGCTCCTGAACGTAGCTGTTGACGTGTAGGAGATTCAGCTGAGAGACCAGCCTGGCTCCGAGGGTGCATCACAACAAACCACTGCTCCCGCCCAGGACCAGTTCCAATGTGCAGAGTCCGATGGTGGAGGGAGAACTGAAGTTGCTGAGCAAGATTTCCACCATATGGTTTGCTCCACGACTGGAATGACATGGTATACACTTTCAGCACATCTTGTGGTCCATTGGGTGCAAGTGGTGTCATAACTCTACCAACAAACTCAACATAATCAAGAAAGTACTGATTGACCACCATATCATTCAAACCGAGTCGACGTGCTTCATCTTCGTCTCCATAGTTGATTTGATACTGGTTATAGAACAGCTCCATGGGC